ATTGTGCAATAGATTCATATTATTCTATCAAGCTATCAAAATATGTGTAGCGCATTGCTGATTTTTCCAGTAGTGTTAAGCTTAAATAAGTCTTGTTCTTCTTTAGATCAACTAACTTACTGAGGTTGAATTATGGGGATAAAATTCGCTTTATGCTCTACTAATCAACTATATATTCAGCCTGGTGTTAATCAGCTTCGTTCACCTTAAATCAACGATGCTTCAATTCTTGATGTTCAGCTTGAATTGTTACTTAGGAAGTTCCTCCAGTGATGATAAATGGGGATGTTGTGTTTCGGTAGAACGACGGCTAGCACCAACTTTCGCCTAAGACTGTTTGAAGCAGCCTCCCAGACAACCAGAATGCACGTATATTCAAAGTTGTTTTCGTGATATACAAACATATATACAAACAAACAATTCGTATATAATGCAAAGAAATGGCTTATACGTACAAAAGTGGAGGCCATATACGTGCATATTTTCGTTTAATTTTAAACGAGTTGATTTAACATCATATACGATTTAATCTGTAATAACAAATTCATTTTGAAAAGTTTTACGATGTAATCTGATTTAATTTGTGATACAGTACGATGGAAAAATGAGTCATCGCATATTGGTCGGAAATTTGCATTCTATACGATTTAACATAACATAATGCGAGGTATGCCATTCTTATATGCGATTTTGACTAAAACTGTAGCAATTTATGATATTGTCTGTACATTATTTTACGACTTCTGGTTGTCTGGGCTCTATCTGTGAGGATTGCAATCCCTCATGGGATTTCAGTCTGCTGAATCGCCCTCAAACTAATTTTTGGTCTCTTCTACACATAAACCCGCCCTGCGGCTGGGTTTCTTGCCGCGCAAATAAAACCGTGACGAGTGGTCCTCTTCGGAGGTGGCGCTTGAGCTACTCGTTTTTGAGACATGAAGGTATTCAGTGGTCGAAACCTCGCAGGTTGCGAGGCTTTTTTTTATTTTTTTTATACGGGGGGAATCTGCTTACAGACACCTGAGAAGGAACTCAGGGTGTGGGGATGGGAGAATTTCACTCCCGACCCACTAAACCTTACCCTGTGCGCTTGAACCTTGGCCTCCCCGGAACCGCCCGAAGGTATTACTTCGTGGGAGGGGCCACTATAGCACTATGGCGCTTCTCTAGCAATACTCTATCGATCTAGTTGGGCAGTAGGCAACTGCTGCTCGGCACACCACTGTCGTTGTAGTTCCGAAACTATGTGGGTGACCGCAGTCACCACCCCGCTCCAGTTCTCGGTGGTACCACACATCCTAGAGACGATGTTATCCGGACTGGTATCCGTTCCGCATATCGCTAGCATAGCGCTCGATACTGGCTCGAAGCGTGGACAGGCGAACACAACGTGTTCGGCAGTCTTTTCGACGCCAGCACACGTAGGGCAGTTGGGAGTACTTGCATGTCCGAACCTATACAAGTAGCTCCTAAAGCAGCCATGGCCTGACAGGAACTGTGTCAGGTGGAAGTTTACTTCCCCGTGGCGCCTGTTGACCCAGCTTGATACGGAAGGTATCAAGCGGTAAGTCCACCTCCCCTTTGTGGAGTTTTCCCACTACAACTGCCATCTCGCGGTCGACACAGCTCGCGCTTTGTTGCGCACCCCTCGAACGGTCCTCGCGTCATAGCACACCACGTCCTCATTAATGATGAGGCTGATTGGCATCATCCCTGCTATGACACAGACGGTCTCCCTCGGGATGGTGCGGTATGCACTGGCCACCCTCAAGCCTGTGTATACTCTCCAATTTCCGCCTGAGCAGTCAATATCCAGTATCGCAGCCCACGCAGGGCTGCCGTATCTGAGGATAGATACTACGACCCCAGCGAGGAGCCTGCGCTTACTGGCATTCACTGCCGAGCTGTTTGACATCATCCGGGATAATGCCCCCACAGGCGTAGACGCTCTCTTGCAGGCGTACTCGACGTGGCAGCCGAAGCCGAGCTTATCATCGAGCATAACCCCCAAGAGTTTCAGGGAGCGCACAGACCTAATTGTGCTTCCGCCGACTGTCAGCGTCGCATGCTGTACCGACATGCGATTGTTGACTACGACCACTTCCGTCTTGTGATGGGCAAGCTCCAGTTTCCTGGATCTCATCCATTCCTCCGCAAGTTTGACGCAGTGAGCCGCTGTCAGCTCTACCTCCTCGAGGGATTCCCCGTAGACTACCAGCGTGACATCGTCGGTAAAACCTACAATTTTCACGCCTACCGGGAATCTTATCCTCAACAATCCATCGTACATGACGTTCCATAACACCGGGCCCAGGATGGAGCCTTGTGGCACTCCTGCGGTGACTCTTACGCATTTTTCGCCATCTTCTGTGTCGTACGTCAACACACGATTCTGGAAGTAGCTTTCCAGAATCTTGTACAGCCCTCCGGGAATTTGGAGCTGGTGTAGCGAGCGCGCTATCGCCACCTAGCACGCGCTGTTGAACGCGTTCTTCACATCTAAGGTTACCACCGCGCAGTAACGAATGCCCCTTCGTTTCCGGTGGACCACCTCTGCCGTCTGGATGACGTCGCGGATAGCTTCCACCGTGGATCTGCCCTTGCGGAACCCGTACTGGCTGCTTGACAGGTCGTCTACACCTTCGGTGTAAGCCGACAACCTGTTGAGGATGACCCTCTCAAGCAGTTTACCAGTGGTGTCCAGCAAACAGATGGGCCTGTATGCTGACGGGTCCCCAGGGGGTTTTCCTGGCTTGGGGAGCAGCACTAGCCTCTGCCACGTCCACGCATCAGGGAAGATGCCTACGTCCAGGCAGGTCTGAAAAACAGAACGGAACATGTCTGGGTTTTTCGCAACGGCCGCCCTCAGAGCCACAACCGGGATCCCATCTGGGCCCGGGGCCTTGCCCACCAGTGACGGGGCCTTGCCCACCACCACTCACTAAGTTCTCTGTTGCGAGGCTTGCGTTACAGTATTAGGCGCCTAGATCCGGTTTGATGGCCCTTCAGCTCATTCGTGTTCATGGTCTCGGGAAATTTTCTATGCAGATGTGCTGACTTGACATTGATATGTTTGGCTTTATTAATCTACAGGAAACACGAATGTTTATATCATTCGAAGCTTGGTTTGATTATCTACTGATGCAAAAACCTTGTTATAATCGGTGCTGAACCATCGATTAATTTATGTTGCAATGAAACTATTTTGAGCATTAAAGGGTGGACGTGAAAACAAATAGGTTTAGTCGTTATTATCTCAATATGACGATTTTCGATAGGAGACTGATATGACGGCAGATCCGATTCCACCGTTAATGTGAATCTCTATTACATACATGCCGGACTATGATAACACAAATGATTCAATCGCTCGGGCCCTATCTACACGAGGTAATTATTCACAAATAGTGATAATTTTCGCACGGTTCGTAACATCCCTCGAGAATAAAGCGCCATTAGCATAGCATCCATGCTAATGAATTCCGAACCGTTCGCCGTACAAGTTCAAGTTCTCGGTAAGTGATGCGTCATCGTCGTAGTTTTAGTAGCTAGTGACTAAACTATAGCCACTTACATTATCAACGCTAGACCGCACCGTTGCTAAAAACCCATAAAATTATGACAATGAAACTACAAACAGACGTTTCATGGGCATAATCAGATCCAGCAGCTCCTACAATTAACACAACCATGCGACGGCGGGTGTATTGTTTAGGTTTGTGCGTCTCCACATCTCCACAGCCCGTTGCGGCAGCTCTTGACCTGTTCCAGATGGGTGAACATCAGTCCTCCGTCAAAGTATTAGCATTTCTTTAAAATTATTTTAGATGGGTGGAGGAGGGGCGGATCCAGTGTTGTAGGGTGCCACTTTGAGTGACATAAGGCCAGTTGAATAATGATACATGGAAATCTGGCAACACTATCACCAATTTCCGAACCGAAAAAAAAGCTGTGAGTAGTTCGAATTCTTTCGCATACATCACAACAGCCCAGGGGGAAACAATCGGTTTCATATTTAAATGAAACGACCTAGTAGGTGCGGGTAAAAGCGTTTCAACTTGAGAGCAACAATAGAGCTCGTTTTTCCTTTGTGTCACATCTCGGCGACGATGCATCACAATGCACAATCAATCCAGAATTTTAGAGTAGAGGCAGAAAAAGTGTGTCTTCAAGTTTCAAAGACACCCGGTGTCCGTACACCGTTCGCTGCTATGGAAGAAAAGATCAAGCTTTTGTTCGTCGAACTGCACGACTAATTTCACGATACGATGTTTTGTTTAAAATAAACGTCGAAAAAAAAATGTTCGGAAGGAACAATATATCATCAACAACACACGGACGAACGAACGAAGTGACTCATCATTCTGAACTTTGTTCTCGTCGGTAGTTGGAGGGTTGTGTTGTTGGTTTTAAGGCAGTGAATATGCTTGACTGCACGAGTTGATGTGAGTCTATTAGTGATATGTGTACGAACGAGTTCATTTGCTGTCCGACAAGGTAATTTGTTCGTAGACCGTGTTGATGGTGTTGATAGACCAGGCGGCAAATGTTTGAGTGACTAAATTTGGATGCGAGCCATGTGTGTCGTCTGAATACAGGGATTCGGTTCTATTAATCGATGAACGGTTTTGTTGGTAAACGAATTTATGTCATTTCTATTGATTTGGAATTTTGGTTTCGCAGATATCGGCCATGGGGTGAAGTTAGCAGGGAATGGAGTTTTATTGAAGATGAATACTCATACTTGAACCCTTCTCAGAAATTCATCTCCAGATAAAATCCATCCTTAGGGTATTCAACGTACAGGCTCGGTTTCGTTTCGCTCAGTTAAAATCTCCAACCCAACTCAGCACGGTACTCCAAACTTCCCACAGCAATAAGCTCTCGGATTTTGTTTACTTTCGGAGCTCCTCTATCACAATTTCAAAAACCCGCTGTTCCTGGCAAATGATTTAATGAGACAATTTTCCCCCTTTTCTCTATCTCATTCTTACCAGCAGCCCACCTGGCGATTGTGGGGCGAAGAGCGCGAGCAGGACGCCATCTATACCGTCTACCTGAAGAAGGTCCGCTACCATAGGCCGACGCCGAGTGCCAGCAGTGTAAGTACCACCCGTTGACCCACCATCTCACTATCACCTGTCATCATCCCTAAGGTTCATGTTTCGTCGTTGGAATTAAGCAAGGGGATGAAAATGCTAATTGAAGAGTTTTCCTCTTTCCTCGTAATTGAAAGCTGGGATTTGCATCACTCTTTGCAGCTTGAGTGTCTTGAGTCACAGACAAACAGACATAACCATTGCAAGTTGTTCATCAAACAAGCATTTAACGATCAATTTAAAAGTATCGTAGCGCACTTCCAGCACAGTGTACTCAACAGATGTTTTAGCGACGATGTTTTACAGTGAGAAATATTCAATGTGCTATGTCTGTTTGTCTGTGCTTGAGATGTCTAGGTTGGTGAGCTGCTAGTTGAGTCAGATGCAATTAAAGGAGTAGATTATGATAATTGACGAAAGTTTGTTAGGGACTGGTACTGGTCATTAGGTTTGAGCCGAGGAGATGACTGAAATTAGTCCGGTCAAGGATAGAATCTTTTGTAAAAGGTATGTTCGTGAACTAAGAACAAATAATCCAGAATTCAAGACATCAAGAGACAATGTAATCTTTATTCGAAAGAAAATAAAATCGTGTAAATCCAGAAACTCAAGAAATCAAGAAATTTTGAAATCATAAAATCAAGCAATTAGGAAATCAAGAAATCTCGATTACTGTTTCGAAGGGACTTATCAGCTTTTGTAAACAATGCACTTGATTGTCGATTTGGCGTAACTGGTCTTACACTACCATCAGATGGGAGAAATTTTCCCCTACCTGTTAGTGGTGTTAGTATGAAACTGATACGTCCCTTTCAAAAAGTAATCGAGGAATCAAGAAATCCATAAATCCACAGAAATCCAGAAATGAAGAAATCAAAAAATCAGTCAAGAAATTCTGAAATTCAGAAATCAAGAAATCAAAGAATCAAATCTAGAAATCAAGAAATTGAAAAATCAAGAAGTCAACAAATATAGAAACTAAGAAACCATGAAATCAAGAAATGAAGAAATGAAGAAATCATGAAACCAAGAAATCCAAGAATCCACAAATTAAGTAATTAATAAATCAATATAGAAATATAGAAATCCAGCAATCAAGTAATTAAAAAAAATCAAGAAATCAAGAAATAAAAAAAATAGTTAATCAAGAAATCAAGAAATCAAAAAATAATAGTTAATCAAGAAATTAAATGAAGAAATTAAATCATGAAATTAAATCATGAAATTAAATAAAAAAAAAAATAAGTTAAGAAATTAAATCAAGAAATCAAGAAACCAAGGCATTTTTTAATCCAGAAATCAATAAATGAAAGAAACAAGAAATCTTGAGATCAATAAATCACGAAATTTAATCAAGAAATCCAGAAGTCAAGAAATCAAGAAATCAATAAATCATGAAATCCAGAAATCATTAAATGAAGAAATCAAGAAATTCATCATGAAATTAAAATATAAGGAAATCAAAAAATTGAAGAAATAAAGAAATCATGGACTCGTTAAATCAAGAAATCATGAAGTGAAGAAATTAAGATATCACGAAATCATGGAATGATTAAACTAAGAAATCAAGAAATCAAGAAATCATGAAATGAAGAAATCAAGATATCATGAAATAACTAAATTAAAAAATCAATAAATCAAGGAATCAAGAAATCAGGAAATCAAGAAATCATGAAACCAAGAAATCAGAAAATCAAGGTGTCAAGAAATTATGAAATTGAGAAATCGAAGAAATGAAGATCTAAAGAAATAAAAAAATAAAGAAATTCAGAAATTAAGAAATCAAGAAATCAAAGATATCAAGAAATAAAGAAGTGAAACCGATGGAAAAAAATAAAGAAACCAAGAAATAACGAAATTATGAAATTAAGAATAAAAACACATGAAATTAAGAAATAACGGAATAACGAAAATATGAAGTTAAGAGATTAAGAAATCAAGAAATCAAGATATCTAGAAATCAAGAAATCCAGAAATGAAGAAATCAAGAAATCAAGAAATCAAGAAATCCAGAAATCAAGAAATCAAGAAATCAAGAAATCAAGAAATCAAGAAATCAATAAATCAAGAAGATAAGAAATAAAGAAATCAAGAATTAATTAAATCAATGAAATAAATAACAAGAAATCAAGAAATCAAGAAATCAAGAAATCAAGAAATCAAGAAATCAAGAAATCAAGAAATCAAGAAATCAAGAAATCAAGAAATCAAGAAATCAAGAAATCAAGAAATCAAGAAATCAAGAAATCAAGAAATCAAGAAATCAAGAAATCAAGAAATCAAGAAATTAAGAAATCAAGAAATCAAGAAATCAAGAAATCCAGAAATCAAGAAATCAAGAAATCCAGAAATCAAGAAATCAAGAAATCAAGAAATCAAGAAATCAAGAATTAATTAAATCAATGAAATAAATAACAAGAAATCAAGAAATCAAGAAATCAAGAAATCAAGAAATCAAGAAATCAAGAAATCAAGAAATCAAGAAATCAAGAAATCAAGAAATTAAGAAATCAAGAAATCAAGAAATCAAGAAATCCAGAAATCAAGAAATCAAGAAATCAAGAAATCAAGAAATCAAGAAATCAAGAAATCAAGAAATCAAGAAATCAAGAAATCACGAAATCAAGATATCAAGAAATCAAGAAATCAAGAAATCAAGAAATCAAGAATTAATTAAATCAATGAAATAAATAACAAGAAATCAAGAAATCAAGAAATCAAGAAATCAAGAAATCAAGAAATCAAGAAATCAAGAAATCAAGAAATCAAGAAATCAAGAAATCAAGAAATCAAGAAATCAAGAAATCAAGAAATCAAGAAATCAAGAAATCAAGAAATCAAGAAATCAAGAAATCAAGAAATCAAGAAATCAAGAAATTAAGAAATCAAGAAATCAAGAAATCAAGAAATCCAGAAATCAAGAAATCAAGAAATCCAGAAATCAAGAAATCAAGAAATCAAGAAATCAAGAAATCAAGAATTAATTAAATCAATGAAATAAATAACAAGAAATCAAGAAATCAAGAAATCAAGAAATCAAGAAATCAAGAAATCAAGAAATCAAGAAATCAAGAAATCAAGAAATCAAGAAATTAAGAAATCAAGAAATCAAGAAATCAAGAAATCCAGAAATCAAGAAATCAAGAAATCAAGAAATCAAGAAATCAAGAAATCAAGAAATCAAGAAATCAAGAAATCAAGAAATCGTGAAATGATCAATGCGATAAATCATGAAATCAAGAATTCAAGAAATCAGGAAATCCATAAATCAAGAAATCATGAAATAAAGAAATTCAGAAATCATGAAATCCATAAATTCATATACCCATCATGAAATCAAAAAATCAATCAAGAAATCAACGAACGAATCGTGGAGTCAGGAAGTCATATATTAAGAAATAACGAAATCAATAAGTTAAGAAATCCAAAAATGAAAATTTAAGAAATCAAGATATTAAGAAATAAAGAAATCAAAATATCAAGTAATCATTAAATAATTAAATCAAGAAATGAAAACGTCTAGCAATAAAGAAATCAAGAAAACAAGAAATCAAGAACTGTTCTGCTAGAAAATTCCGCGAGAAATTCTGCTGGGATCTTCCTCCAGAAGTTCTGGGAACTACCTTTTCGAGTTCTGTTAGCAACTTCCTCGAGAAGTTCTGCTAAGAGCTTCTTCAAAAAGTTCTGCTGGGAATTTCCTCCAGAAGTTCTGGGGACTACCTCTCGAAGTTCTGCTAGGAACTTCCTCTCGAAGTTCTGGGTACCCTCTAGAAGTTTTAAGAAACTTCCTTTAGAAGTTTCGGGAACTTCCTTTAGAAGTTCTGGGAACTTCCTGTAGAAGTTCTGGGAACTTTCTGTAGAAGTTCTGGGAACTTCCTCTCTTAAATTTGAGAACATCCTATAAAAGATCTGAGAACTTCCTCTAGAAGTTATGGGAACTTCCAATAAGTACTGAGAACTTTCTCTTATAGTTCTAAGAACTTTCTCTGTAAGTTCTGAGAACTTCCTCTATAAGTTCTGAAAAATTCCTGTTGAAGTTCTGGGAACTTACTATAAAAGTTATAGGAAGTTTCTCCAAAAGTTTTAGGAACTTTTTCTTAAAGTTCCTTCAGAAGTTTTTTCAGAAGTTTCTTCAGAAGTTCTTTCAGAAATTCCTTCAGAAGTTTCTTCAGAAGGTCTTTCAAAAGTTTATTCACAAATTCCTCCAAAAATTCCTTCACGAATTCCTACAGAAATTGCATACACAGTTCCTTCAGAAGTTCCTTCAGAAGTTTTTTCAGAAATTCTTTAGAAGTTCCTTCAGAAGTTCCTTCAGAAGTTCCTTCAGAAGTTCTTTCAGAAGTTCCTTCAGAAGTTCTTTCAGAAAATCCTTCAAAAGTGCCTTCAGAAGTTCCTTCAGAAGTTCCTTCAGAAGTTCCTTCAGAAGTTCCTTCAGAAGTTCCTTCAGAAGTTCCTTCAGAAGTTCCTTCAGAAGTTCCTTCAGAAGTTCCTTCAGAAGTTCCTTCAGAAGTTCCTTCAGAAGTTCCTTCAGAAGTTCCTTCAGAAGTTCCTTCAGAAGTTCCTTCAGAAGTTCCTTCAGAAGTTCCTTCAGATGTTCCTTCAGAAGTTCCTTCAGAAGTTCCTTCAGAAGTTCCATCAGAAGTTCCATCAGAAGTTCCTTCAAAAGTTTCTTCAGAAGTTTCTTCAGAAGTTCCTTCAGAAGTTTATTCAGAAGTTCTATCAGAATATTCTTCAGATGTTCCTTCAGAAGTTCCTTCAGAAGTTCCTTCAGAAGTTCCTTCAGAAGTTCCTTCAGAAGTTCCTTCAGAAGTTCCTTCAGAAGTTCCTTCAGAAGTTCCTTCAGAAGTTCCTTCAGAAGTTCCTTCAGAAGTTCCTTCAGAAGTTCCTTCAGAAGTTCCTTCAGAAGTTCCTTCAGAAGTTCCTTCAGAAGTTCCTTCAGAAGTTCCTTCAGAAGTTCCTTCAGAAGTTCCTTCAGAAGTTCCTTCAGAAGTTCCTTCAGAAGTTCCTTCAGAAGTTCCTTCAGAAGTTCCTTCAGGAGTTCCTTCAGAAGTTTCTTCAAAAGTTCTGAGAATTTCATTCAAAACTTCCTCCTTATAACACGTAGCAAACATTAGTTTTCAGAATACGTTTTTAGAAGTTCGAAAAGGTTAAAAAGGCGTTTTAACCTAAGTATCAGACATCTGTATCAGTTCATACCAACTCGATTTCCACTAAATCGACATCGAGTTATAAAAATGAACTTTATGGCAACTGCGATGGTGATTTCCTCTGGGATTGTTGTTCTGCAACTCGAAAATTCTTCGATATTTATAATTCACCTGCAGATGCTATCTAATATTCATTGACACCTGAAAACTATGCTTCAGCATTTGATGAGCATCATACCAAATGTTTGGTTGCAATTTGGCAGGTTTTCGCAATTAAAATTTAGAAGCAACCTCGAACGATGATTAAGTTGCAACGTCACGATTGCAAAACCTGTGGAGCGTGATCTGAAATTGTTATAACCTCTGATAACATTCAACAGCATTCCATAGACTATGACACAGAGTAATGTTTTGGTCATTGTCTACAAACCTGTTGTCATGTAATAAATATAAATTCACCGCAAAATGCATATTCTATCAGCACTTTGCAGAGCGACTGTCTAGTTATCAAATCTGCCTCCATTATGGTGGAGACAATGCATGACGGAGAACCATTTCACATAATTAAACTATTACCCGTTTTCCAGTTTGTCGTTGTCAAGTTTAGATTAATTTTAAATGCCCCGGCACGTTTAACTGACCAGTCGCTAGTGCGTGCAATTTCCCACGTGCTACTTTGGTTTCCTCTCAACCGTGGCACAATAGTGCACCTGATCACCCGAAGTGGAAAGCCTTCAAATTATCAATAGCCCCTCAGTTGTTTGTTGCCTGCAGCAATTCTTCAGACAATGCGCCAATTTAGCACTATTTTCAATTAATTTAAAATTGACGCTGGAGCGTTTGCAAAATGTTCGATTTCATAATTTGCAATTGCTCTCCTTTCGCCCATTAATCGTAAACCGCAAAACGAATGTTATAGCCTCCATTGCTTCCCCCCCCCACAACAATGGGGTCAATTATGGTGACAAATGAGATTATTGTCGAGTCCCACAGTTGCATGGATTATGCTCAGCAATCAGACGATGACCAGCACCAGTATTTAGTAGCAGCCAATCGTTTGGGAATAGATCCAATTTTAAATCCGTCCCTATAAGCTTGCTGCTGGAATCGATATCGACACCCATTTTCAGTGTAATTAATTAAAACAGCTCGCTCTCCAACCGACCCACTTGGAATGGAATTCGATCCCTCATCGGCTTTAAGTGGCCTCTTGACAGTGGTGAACTGTCAATTGCTTAGCGCTTACTAACCCATCTTTTTCTCGCTTCCAGCAAGACTCGGACGATGAAATCTCCCACTTGGAGTGGGAAACGGTCCGGGTGCGGTTCGTGAAGGCGGCTACCCTCTCGCGGCTCGTCGACGCACTGACGACGGACGATGGCGAGCTGGAGAGTACCTTCGTGAATGTGTTCCTGACCACCTACCGGACGTTTTCGCAGCCGGAGAAGGTGCTGGAGTTGCTGCTGAATCGGTACGAGAAGCTCCACTCGGCGGACGTTGCCCTGCTGCCATCGGAATCGCTGACCGATCAGCACAAGAAAACTCTAGGTTCGGAATTGGTTTCGGCAAATGGTTTGCGGTTTCGGTTTGCGGTTCTAAATTAGTGGTTTTTATTTTAGTCTCCGTTCTTCACGTGTGGTTGGATGGATTCCCCGAGGACTGGGATACGGAGAACCTGCAACGGCTACTGGCGTTCACCTCCAAGCGGCTGCCAAACTCGGAAATACACATTAAAGCTTTACATAGGTGAGTCATACTTTGTTGGTGTTATTCTATCCGGATGTTATATTGGCCGATATGAATTGGAAATCAATCAAAGTTTGGACAGTTTTGCATTTATGGGCAGTATTGTACACTGAAAATTAGTGGCATGCAGCGATATGTTACAACCACAGTCAATGTTAAAATAAGAGTCCCGCCAGGAGTGAAGCCAGAAGAACCAATCGAACTGTCAAGCGGGGTACCAAACAAGCAAAGTAAATAAACATTATTGTTCCCACAGTTAGTGAACTACAATTATTGTATTCATTACTGACAATATTTTAGTAATTTTAGATGAAAAACATTTCTTCACTTTATTTAGTACATTGTGGTATTTTTAAGTTATACCAAGCACTTGTATGAACATCCCAAGTAACAATTTTGGTTTTATGAGGGTTCTGAAGATCGTGTTTTAGACTTGTAGCATGCTTTAAAACCACTATAAAACTTGCAATGGTACTTGGGATGTTTCAGGTTCTATAATTGTTTTTGTTTCCCAGAAGCTCCGTTATCGACATGAAATTTTTCACTTCTTAATGAAAGTCATCCGATGCTAACGCAAAACATTTGGTTGCCGTTTACTCTGACGAAAAATAAATCACAAACAGTGCTGCTTGTTCGCAACATTTTCTCTTGGCGGGATTCTTATTATAACATCGACTCTGGTTACAACCAGCTTGCTGATATGCCGCCATGTTATTGAATCCAACATCTGAATGTGACGTTTCAAGTGTGAACTGTAAAAATTGAGTGACTGGTTCCCTTTTATACGATATAAATAATGCTTTATGTGTTCTAAGTTTATTTTTCACTAAATTTAAGCACAAATATTAAGAATATCTAAAATATCAGTGACACCTTTTTTTGAAATTCTGGCTTGAATCTTCTATTTGTTTACAAATTATGAGCTGTCAGTGGGGCCCACAATTTGCGGACCCGCAGCGATTTTAGCTCTTGTCAACCTAATATGGACCAACAGGTCTGTGACATAAAAATGGGAGCTCTTGTCAAGGTAAGGTAAACAAGATAGGGTTGCCACCTAGCTGGTTACAACTTCAGCTCCATTCTATAGATAATTGCATGGAATGAGTAAACCTCACTTTTCACAGTTCATGGAGCTTGCAAGTCCCCGGCAAGATGACAGATAACCTTAGTTTCACGTACCCACTTGCAAATAGTAGATGTCGCTACATAACGTAAACAAAGGGATTGTCCTTCACCGCCGCAACGGCGTTTCGCTATGAGAAACAAAAATTTTGTTTCACCATGAGTGGAAACACTCATGGCAAGAATGCCATATGAAAAGAGCGAATTTATGATTTTCGTGGTGAAATTAAATAAATCCATACATATTGAACCGATTGATTGAGTTTCATCTTATATCATCGAATGGAAATTAAAATACTTTGGTTTCTTCAGTTTTATTTTGCTCTTGATCAGCCTTTAGATTATTGCTTTGAACATAGTTGTGCGATGAAGGTATACTTTCCCGTGTTTCTCTTACGGGGTAAGTAAAGTAAACGGTTTGAGAGGCTGAAATTGGCATTCGACAGCATACAAAGTACACCGCTGAACTAACGTTGTACTTTTTTAAGCTAGAAAGAGCATTATAAGCAGCTTCTGGCGGAACTTGAACTTTTAGAAAATAAATTAAGAAAGGTTTTTGTTCCCTACTACATTATAGTTAGTTCGCAATTTTATAAAAGTTAATTCTAAAGTCTGGTCTTTATGAAAGTTTTTTTTTCTAAAGGCAGGTATGAAGTGTATTGATTTATCAGCATTAGTAGTAAAATTGGAGCTGTTTTGAAGAATAAAACCCAGTCCTTATGCGTGAGAGCCCCAGCATGAACTGCTTCGTCATCTGAGATATATTAAAGTGAGCTGTTGTCCTGCCTTGTTGGAGTTTTCAGTGCCAGCTGACTGACTTGAATACGAAACACAACACCTTGATGAATTGGTGTTTGCCCGCAGGGTATTTCAACACACTTATGGCGTACTTGTTAGCGTTCGTAGATCGCATGCCAAACACACGGGTTGGAATCTAGGAAATTGATCTTTATTTTGTTTGGATGGAATCTTGATGCACTGCATAAATATAAGAATTATGATTCATTTGACCCACTGATCATTTCATATTTACGTACATTAATGTATGTTCCTGAAAAATATATGTGTGGATTGCTTCGTGTGGGCTATGACGGACCTTTTAAGAAACTTTCAAGTTGCTAAGAAGTTCCGCAGGGATCTTTTAAGATACTTAAAAGTTGCTAAGAAGTTCCGCTGCGAACTTGATCGGAACTTTGTTGTGGCCTTGTTTCAGCTTTACCTAAAGTTCCTAAAAAGTGCTTAGGGATGTTTTTTGGAACTTTTTTTGAACTTCAAGAGCCTGAAGTTCCTATAGCTGCTAAAGTAGCGAGAAAGTTGTGTTGGAACTTTATATGCACTTTATGGAACATTAAAGCGGGGTTTGTCGTTGAATGTGGATCTTTTGGTTGCTTGGAGTACTATCGAAACTTTATTTGAAATTCATGGAACATGAAAGTTCTGTCAGAACTTTACCCGAACTTTATTAAACTTGAAAATGAGTTTTATCGTTGAATGCGGAACTTTTGATTACTTGGGTAGTCGAAATCACCGAAAGTATTCTCGCTCAATTCTCATTTGTTCCGATTAATTCGATGTTAACCACATATTTTCGATTTACAAATCATATGTTTAAGCTTTTGGTTCTGTTCTGCTCAAAGACATACGAGACTACATAAAAATATAAACTGATTATGAATTGTGCATACGACTGAAAATCAAAATGACTGCGCATGCGACTGAAAATCACTAGACTTCCTATGTCGCTAATGTTAATTTTGACGTTGGACTTCACGTGTACCACACGCGCGTTCCGGTTTGGTGGGCGCGCGGCAATAACATAAATTTTAAACTTTCATTTCATTTACTATAAATCATTTCCGCACTCGCCCTATTCAGATAACTCTTCTGAAAACTTGTGAGTTTGACAGAACCACCAGAACCAAATTATTGGGGTACACTTGCAATATACTGGTCAAGTTGCCCCCGGGTTGGGAGCTTGTTTACAAGGTATTAGAATTTGAAACGACAGATCGAAAATTTTCGTTGTCTTCTTTCAGATTGTGGTCAAATCTATTTGCGTTGACAGCACAGTCGAAAAATTGTCTTTTCAATGATTAACAGTTTCTTATGGGAATTTTCAGTGGATACTACAAAGGCCGGTATGTTTCACGCACAGTCTGACGTTTGCTTATGGATTTTCCCAAATATTTAACACGTGAACGCAAATTTGTCCACTTTCTTCTTCCTTATGTCTTCCGTGATTTGGCAACGTAGAACTTCAGCCCCGGTATCTGCTTTGCGTCTGCCTTGATGTAGGTTTCGTCATCCATAACCACACACATCGGTTTCGTTAACCACTCTCAATACAGCTTCTTTGCGCGGGATTTGGCCGCCGTGTTTTGTTGATCACGCTGGTTCGGTGCCTTCCGGACCCTGAATACACGAAGCCCAGCTCGTTTCATGATTTGCTGAACGAACCAGGCGGAACACTTTGCCTTCAGAGAAGCGTCGAGAATCGAAAGGTTCGGATTACGCTTGAAATATTCCAACACCTTCCGGGCCTTCACAGGGTCAGCTGTCTTCAATTTTCTTCCACTTCCAACCCGCCGCTCGGTCGTCTGGTACTCCTTAAACGATTTAACCACTCGAGACACAGTTGTATGGGTGATTCCCAGTTGTCTTCCGATCCATCTCATGGTCGCAGTCGGATTTTCCATGACGGCGCACAAAATTCTCCGGCGATTTTCTTCTTGTTTCGATGACATCTCAATAACCACTGAAACGATTGTTATGAAATTTTGCACATGTAAACAATTTACTCCAAACTAGTTATACCCAGATTTGCATCAATTTTTACCCACGGATAAAAAAAGTTACACACGGATAAAAATGGTGCATTTTTTCGAGTACAAGCCTTACTTGCCAAACATTGCAATTCGATGTGGAAGAAATCATATCAAAGCACGATTAAATCAATAGCAAATCACTTCATTTTAGATTGTATTGCACATCGTTGTTGAACTCGAAATGTCAAGCATACTGATATTAAAAATCTATCACTTAAAGTTTAACTAATTTATCCTTGGATTTCATGTTTGCTGTAATGTAAATGGGTGTAAATAAATATATTGGCTTGTTCATACTGCAAGCCTTGTTATATGTTATTCAGAATATGACCATAGAACATGTAGCATTTTACTACCCAGATCACATGTTTCCAAGTGATATTGAGCTCAGTATTTTTGGGCCCTCGTGTTGTTTCAAGAGAGGAAGCAGACGCTTCTGTAGACACTCCTTGAGGTAGATTTCCCCGTTTACAGTCCCGGTAGTCACGAACACCGTACTCCGTTTGCCACATGAGCAGTTCGCTTGCCAAACCATGTATTTATTGGCAAACTTTGAAAGTTTCTGCTTCCTTACTTCCTCCGGAACATCAAACTTGTGCTGTGAAAAACAGTAGCCATGGAAGCTGCCGGAAGTCCGCCTTGACGTAAGTCTCATCATCCATGATGAGACAATGAGGCTTCGTTAGCATCTGGGTGTACAGTTTCCGGGCCCGTGACTTTCCCACCGTATTTTGCCGTTCGTCACGATTTGGAGCCTTCTGCACTTTGTACGTATGCAGTCCCTCCCGGTCCTTGGCTCTATGAACGAAAGCTTGGACAGATTCAATTTTTTGGCCACAGCATTGGGATTCCGCTTAAACGCTTTCACGACACGCTTGTGATCCTGATCACTAATAGAACATCCATTCTGACCGTATTTCTCCTTCCGTTCGATGCTCAGAGTTTCTTAGTAACGTTTAATCACACGACTCACCGTTGAATGCACGATTTCGAGTTGTTTTCCGATGTCCCGATGAGAGAGTTGAGGATTTTTCAGGTGCTTGCGCAAAATCAATTCGCAACGTTGCTTTTCGGGTGACGCCATTTTTTCTAACTTTCGAAAAACTGACAGCGATCAAAATACAGTGTAAACAATACACTCTAAACTACTTCCATCCAAATTTTCAAGAGAAAATACCCAATGGGTAATTTTCTACAGCGTTTTTTTTTCGTGATGCAATTTGATGTAATTTCTCTATCAAAATTCTTTGCAAAGTTCAGAATTCTCCTTTATTTTCCGTAGTAATTCCATTTATGAATAGCATAATATACTCCACCGGCTTCCTTTGATGCTCTCAATTTAATTCGAAATTAAAAGAATTTCACTAAAATTTCTCTAAAACATGCTAAATTTCTACAATGATTTATTATATTTTACACGGTCAACTAAACTTCTACAAACTTTGCTACAATTTCTTCAAAATTTGCTGATCTTCTGCAAAACGTTCGTTGGAATACTCCGTTTAATTCCTTTGGAGTTTTCATTAAAATTTTCATCGAGTTCTCATCAGAATTATCCTGGAATTCTACTTACATCTGCCTTGGAATTCTGCTTAGAACATTTATACTTAGATTTCTTTCATTTCATTAGAACTTGAATTTTCCTCATCATTCTCATGTAATGTCAGATCTTCCTTGGTGTTCTTTTAGTCCAGAAATTTACCTAAAATTATCCGTATGATTCGCACTCAATTTTCCTTAACATTTCCCAAGTGTTTTTTTTTCTTCTTATATTCATTTGAAAACATGGTTAGAACTCTTTTGAAATGCTCCTAGAATTCGCTTCAGGATTATTTAGGGATTTTCGGTTCACACGTAGTTACTTTCCCTTTGATAGTATGATTCAGAATTCAGTTGATTCCCCTCATGTAATTTCCTAGGGATTTACTTTAGGCTTCACAAGGAATCAGGAGATTCTAAGAACAGCCTTCGAAGCAACAATTAGAATTTTCTTTGAGTTTGCTCATTGCTTTAGATTTATCTCTTAATTACCTTCATGTACGTATATATTTTTTTTAATTATCTCGATTACTTTTTCGAATGGACGTATCAACTATTGTAAACAATGCATTTGACCGTCGATTTGGCGTAGCTGGTAGCTCGCACACGCTTACTAACATGACTAGCAGGTAGGGGAAAATGAAAAAGTAATCGAGTTATCTTCGAAATTGTTTTGATCAAGCCAACAATAAAGTTTTTTTTCTCTTAAGCTGTGTCCCAATTCTATGGTGGAATGGTGCAATGGAAATATTTACCTTTTTTGACAAAACCAAGGTAATCATGACGATTATTGAAAACAATTTGAATAATGAAAAGAGACCTACTGCTGTCATGATTACCTGAGATTTGTCAAATAATGTAAATATTTACACCGATTGCATCGAAGAATGGGCGAGTTAAATTTAACTCGTGATCAAAAGTGACAGATGGAAAGTTATCGAGTAACCCTGCTATCCGAGCGTGGTTATTTCTGACAGACTAGAAGTTAAATTTTGGCAAGCGTGGCTGAGTTCTGTTTGAAAACCGATCGATCGATAAGACCGCGATTTTCGAACATTGAAAATAACTTTCGAAATGTCACTTTTAACCACGAGTTAAATTTAACTAGGCAATTGACAAATCCAAGTTTCAATCGGCCACCGTGGCGCTGCAATCGCAGCGGTGATAAGTCCGAAATAATGTGTCAAACTGAATACATTTTTGAAATTTCAACCAAAAAACTATTATTTTGTATTTATTCTAGCGAGTTTCTGTGGGAGTCAAAACATGATCCGAGCAAAAAAGTAGTACTCGTAATAATGGTATATAATTCTGAACTTTATCGTGCTTTGTTTCGAAAATATCTTCCAAATAAACAAACATCATCCAGATCACCCGATTCGTCCACCGACTAAATCTATTGCCACTTAAAAATTAATTTCAGTCGGTGTATTAATCAGCAGATTAAATCGTTTTTCGTCTGGTGCTACACCGAGCAATCGGCCTATTTAATAATTTTTCGTCGATGGATTTAGTCGGCCAACTTTGTCTGCTGTTTAATCGGCAGATGATTTCAAACCTTAACATGTTTTCTGTAATTTAACTGTCTTCAAGTAGCTTTTTATTTAGGAACAATGCATTACAAAATAATTTTATGCATTTTGTACAAGGTTCATCCATGCTGACAAGAAATTTGCATGAAATTACATTGAAATTAAACAATTTTGCAAACAATCAATGAAATTGTCAAGGGCTGTCACAGACTTATCACCGTCGGTTAGTGCTTATTCCTGCCACCAGGCGCGCAGGAGTTTAAGTTGGCTTTCTCAATTGGCCTTAATTCAATAACTACGAAAAATGTCCTAGGGTAAATGTCGGTTTCGGCACCCACTGACTGTTTTCGGCAATAACAATTTGTACGGTAATTTCACTGTATTGTCTGAATAAAACACTTCGTTAAATGTATTCAGAGGATTCCTTAGACTTTTAGCTTCCATCTGATAAGGGTTTTTGCAAAAGCCATACGCATTTTTACAGTTTTTTCTTGAAATGAAACACACGCACTAAAAAAAATGCTGCTGATTTCGATTCGCCGATAATAGAATACCACATTAACAAACGATTCAAATGGACAAGTTGCCGAAGAAAAAGAGGCTGCCGACAATAGTTACAATCACTTGAGAAGTTTGCCCAGTTTTGGGCAATTAATCATTTTGTACGAACCAACCTAAAGAAATTAATCAGGGACTTTGTCGTTCAGTTTTTTCCCGGAAATTATTGTTAAACAAGCTACAATTAAATAAAAATAATTTTTCCCCATACAACTTTACCTGCTTTACTACCAGTCCCAGAGAGCCAAAAAAATTCAAATTTAAGAGAGAAATTCTCTCTCAAAAGCTCAATCTCTCAACATGCCATGTATTTTGTTGACACTCGATTTGTGATTTCCCTTTCACAGATTATAAAATAGAGTACCTGCCACTACAAAACATGTCTGGTACCTCTATATATGCATTTGCTTTAACATTTGAGTCCCTCCTCTTTTACATATTCTGCGCAGAAGATACTTTATGCCCCGCCCCATACATAAAATTCGGCGGGAAATTCTGTGAGGGGTGAGCTATTTTGTGTGCAGAATGTGTAAAAAAGGAGGGACTTCGAATAATAATCTAAATGCATATATAGAGGTACCAGACAGGTTTTGCACTGCAGTGTCCTCTGTGAACAATTATAGGAAAACAGATTGTGTCTAGTTTCCGATAGATGTCACCGCAAACAGCAGCTGTGACATCTGATGGAACGTGAATGCAGAAGCTTGACAAAATGATTAATTCTATCGATTGGAATTGATAAAGCAGCTCAGGCAGCAGCTAAATGAAAACAATCAAACCTGGCAAAGGTGAGCGTAGCATAGAGAAAAAAAGCCCATAGAATCGTGGACACTGTTTAAAAAAATCTGACGCCTGAATCTTCAATTAAGAACGAGGGGGACGACTCTATCTTCGATGCAGGAAAGATTTTTTTTGGTGTGTTTAGCTGTGCGCACCTTGAATAGATAGAAGGAAGATTGATGACGGTTCTGAAGATTTCCTGATGATGCGCGATGCAAGTAGATGCGATAAATGAAAGAAGATTTTTCCGTAGATTGATTTGCTAGTGTGAGATTTTTTGAGCATCCAGAATTGAGATTTAGATGTGACGCCACCCTCGATTAAGAATCATAATAATTTGCCTAAGCATGGTTACACTTATTTAAAGCCCTGCATTTTTGATTTTTTTTTTGTTTCTTAGTATATGGTTAAATTAATTCGCAGTATTTTATTGCGTCCCTCAGTCTACGACCGAAAATCGTAAGTCACACTCAAAATTGCATTAATAATTGCATTGTCCAATTTATGTTTGTCTATTTACACTCAATTTGTATTCATGATGTATAAACGGCTTGAAACGATCCATATGGCTGAAAATCATTGGAATTTTTGCACTGAATTTATGTCTCAAATAAATATTAAATTAAGTGCCAGATTGCTCTCCATCTCGACTAAAAAGACCTTCCTCCTTTCTTCCTCCCCATTCATCCAGGTATACAAATAGGTTAGATAAGTACAGTCGAATACCACCACCGTTGCCATGGTCCGATCTGACCGACCAGTTCGGGGGCCTTTGCTTAACGCCTGCTTTCCGGGGGCCTCCGTCACACCTGCTCAACTCGTACCGCTTCCCGAACATCCCGGTCAAGCACTTTGCCGAGCAGCTCACCCGGATGGATATGGAACTGTTCAAGCGGCTCATTCCGCACCAGTGTCTCGGGGCCATCTGGTCCAACAGGGACAAGCACGAGGCCAGCACGGTGCTGGCGACTGTTACCCAGTTCAATGCCGTCTCGTTTCGGGTTATTTCCAGCATACTGATCGAACCGCGGCTGAAACCGCAGGTTGGTATTCTTTTTTGTTTTGCTTAGATGATCCATTTCTGACCCATGTTTTATTGCGTTTTCCAGGAACGGGCCCTCCTCATATCAACCTGGATCGACATCGCCCAGGAATTGCGGTTACTGAAGAACTTCTCCTCGCTAAAGGCGATCATCTCCGGGCTGCAATCGAATGCCGTCTATCGGCTATCGAAAACGTGGGCGGCGTTGCCGCGGGAAAAGCTGGAACTCTACACCGAGCTAGCGCGGATATTCTCCGAAGATAACAACGCTTGGGCTCAGCGGGAGGTGCTGATGCGAGAGGGTACGGCCAAATTTGCCGACACGGTTGGAGAAAACGATCGGCACCTACAGAAAGTCTTTCAGAAGCAAAACACCTTGATCAGTCACGGAACCATCCCGTACCTGGGGACGTTCCTGACGGATCTAACCATGATTCATGCTGCCATTCCGGACACCCTGGTGGATGGGTTGATCAACTTCGACAAGCGCAGGAAGGAGTTTGAGGTGCTGGCGCAGATAAAGTTGCTTCAGGGTGCTGCCAATACGTATCATCTACCAGAGGATGCGCTGTTTGATCGGTGGTTCGCTTCGCTGCTGGTGCTGGACGAGCGGGAATCACACACGTTGAGCTGCCAGCTGGAAGCCCCGCCGGAATCGAACAAACGGCCTAGTCATCAAGGGCACAAGAAAAGCGATTCGATTGCGTCGAACAGCAGTAGCGGGGCTGGTTCCCAGTTCTACTGCGACATCAACAATGTATCCAATGCGAGGTTAGTTGGCAACTCGTGTCTTCATGATTAAACTTTGCATTCTAAAATTCTTCATTTAATTTCAGCTACAGTTCTCGAAATAACTCCCTGGACCGGGATGTGACTCCACCGAACGCGTCAATTCTGTCAGCGGCTAGCAGTGTCTCGTCTCTCTCGATGGAATCCACCACCTCCAGTAGTCAGAAGTCGAACCACCTCAACGGAAGTGCCCTGATCCGGACACCGCAGTCCAACAGGGTGAACCATACCAATTCCAATTCGGCTAGCAAAAACGGGCACGACACTCCCATCATCAACGGACAGCTGAAGGAGGACTCGCCGCTGAAGAAGGGATCACCCGATTTCTACATCATCAAGGTTACCTACGAGACGGAACAGGTCGAACTGGACGGGATTGTGCTGTACAAAAGTATTATGCTCGGCAATAACGAGCGAACGCCGCAGGTCATCCGGAATGCGATGCTGAAGCTCGGCCTCGAGGGCGATCCGGACAAGTATACGCTGTCGCAGGTTCTGCCGGACAAGGAACTGCTCCTACCGAACAATGCCAACGTGTACTACGCCGTCAACACGGCGTACAATTTGAACTTTATTCTTAGGCCAAAAAAAGATCCGGACAGTGGGCGGTAAGATTGGCTGAATTGTCGAGTACCAAATGTTGTTGTAAATATATTTATTCTTAATTGAGGGAGCCTATTTCCCACCCGTAACGCTGCTACTCTGAAACTCCCAAACCGGACGAATCTCTTATCAGCAATGTGGCTGATATTAACGGGATAATATTTAAGGAAAAGTTGTACAGCAATTGTGGCAAACTGTGTACCAAGTAGATTATACAATGAACGTTTTTAGCCGCGACATCGGATGAGATAAGTTTTATAGAAATGCACCCCATTACGATTAACAAACAGCAGCAATTAACCATGTGGGCTGTTGAGCACACTAAACCAGAAAACAAAATTACTTATGAAGGAAATTGAGTAACGGAAGAGCTTTTCGGTGAAGAAGTCGAGAATTTTTTTTTTCTCTATCGAAAGGAATTGTTGGCAACTGAAGTGATTTAGCTATTATCAAATTGTGTACTGTACAGAACGGAACCAAGCAGTATCCATCACTAGAGACTAGATTTACGTATACTAAAAGGAAACAAATATTGGAAATATAATTCCACACGGTAAATTGAGTTGGTTCTGGCCGTCGGTGAAGTAAGGTTTCAGTAGAACAGAAAAGAAAGCATTGACTTATGTTGGGCGTTTTTTGACAGCAAAATGACAAAAGAGAGAGCATTACAATCCTTAGGATACAACTCTGTCGACGACTGTTTAATTTTATTTCTACAAAATATCTAAATATGACAAAAAGCACAGAGAACATACGTCCAGCTTCTGTCGGAAACTTAAGTAAACTTTTATTAAAGTAGCTGGTGACATGGTCGGTACGTGGCGATGGCATCTTTTGATTTGCTTTAAAAATTTGCCAATAAGGCCCATTTGGCGCTTCCGTTGAAAATTGCCACTAGGCACTAACGACACTCATGGTGGTAAGCTCCAACCGGTATTATCCTTGGATTAAATCCCGATCAAGACTGCGCGGCTGCTTTGCTACCGACACTAGACTTAATCAACACGACTCTAAGTAAACACTGTGCATATCAGGGGTTTTCTATTCGTTCTAACACTGTCGTTTTGTTAATTTGAACACATGTTGTTCCTCCATTGTGTGTACTGCTAAGCCGGAATTTGGATTTCTCTGTTTGCTATCATTCTTGTGTTCTGCAATCCGCACCTCCAACATTCTCTTCGTCTGTCCCATGTACGCCTTAACATCATCTGTTCCACACGGTATGGAGTACGTCACATTTGTCTGCTTCTCCCAGGTGGTATTGGGTCCTTCATCTTGCTGAATATTTTGTGTTTGAATTTATGTTGTGGCCGGGAAGCTAAAACCACACCATTCCTTTTGACGTAGGATTACGTCTTTCGGCAACATATTGAGGGGTACAATTTAAAAAAAAACTAAAACTAAACGACCACGTTACGAAGAGTGGTCAGGTTTTGAACACTTATAACTCTGTATATAGGGGGGGGGGGGGTGAGGTAGCTCATCGATTCTTCCGGTTCGCCTCCTAGCATCGTGCTATAAGGTACCAGGCGATAACCAGGGTAGTTGATCGATAGGTCGATGACGTCATTTCGTTGGCGTCTGCAATGGGAAATTCTCATAGCAGGCGTTGACGATGGGACGTTGTCGAGTTTTTGAATAGCAACTATCGTGGTAACTCACCGATTACCTGTCGATCTGCCAAATTTGGAAAGACGTCTGCATTGAATTGTCTCATATAATAATATTCCGCCCACTATATCACAAGAAATTGCGAGTAGCTGAGTGGAATGGAGATAAGTTAAGCATTGAGTACAGGACCAAGTCTCCCCTGGGTGGTGCCAGAAGATGAGCGCAATAGAATCATCAACTTGCCATAAGGCACGGAATGAGACTATTGCATGGCTGGGTAGTCAAAGTCTTCCATTCGTTAGTAATTTCAGGTGGATTAGAGCAGGTTTAGGTTTAGGGTGGGCGTTGGCCAGATTTGGATTTTTCAGATGTAATCCTGGATAGGACCCTGTCATTGAACGTCGCGTGAAAGTGGAACTTAATGAAGGCCTAAGTACTTTTTCGTAGTTTTTAGTTTTCGGATTTGAAAGATCGTCGGTTACAGTGACCTGCTTACTGAGCAGAAAAATGCGGTCCCAGGTCCTTACATATCAAAGAGATTTATGGTAAAATCGCTTGTGTATCGTGTATTTTGCGAAACACGTTGTTGTCGTTGGTTCCGGGTTTGAATGGATACAAAAATTTGAGCAATGGTATTATGTGATATGACGGGCTCGGTGGCCTTAGAGCAACCGTTTTTGCTTACTGAGCAGAACATCATGAGTCTAATCTCAGGCCCTGCCACATTCAAGATTCGTCAATCGTTTTATTTGTTAATATGACTACATGGTAATAACAGCAACTCGGTGATTAAAAAGGTGCTCGTCTGCCTAGTGGCAAACGTTTTTGCTTACTGAGCAGAAGACCGTGGGTTTAGTCCCAAGCTCCTTCGCGTTATATGATCTTTAGGACATCAATTCAGCTTATCGTTTACCAAAACGAACCCTGCTGCAAACCCAGCCCTCTTATCCAACATCCCAGTGATTCCTCGTGGAAGTGCAGAGGTGTTCTCGGCTTCCATCATAGCGAGTGTCATGTCAACACAATCCTTCCCATTCCTTTCTTGACCTGTGTTCGGGCGCGGCCGTCGCTGGTATTGCCTAATTTAAGATCACCAGTTTTTACACATTGAGGATGATTGCTAGTCCCAAGCATCGTCTATTGGTTCTCTGTGTAATTACAGCTGATCTGGCAATAACAGAGTAGCAACCGTGGGCAGTCAATCAAGCTCAAGCTCAAGCTCAAGCTTATAACTCTGTCAATAGCGGATTGATTTTAGTTCTAAACAAGCCAATCGATTGGAAATTTTTCTACAGATCTGTTAAAATTATGACTTTATCAATTTAGTAAAGGTCACTATTGAAAATTGTACGAATGTGCAACTGTAGCTATGATAATAAAAAATATCACCGTTTGCTTGCGAAAAGCTTTTCCCTAACACAGATTTCAAAATCGAATTCCATCCGGTCTCTTCTTCTTCTTCATTCCTTTATTTAACGTCGGTCATTGTTTCGCAATCTAGTGCCAATCACCGACGGACATCGATTGCCATCCATTGACGGCAATCGAATGTGTAGGAAAGCAGCTTCCACAACTGCGTAGGATATCGCACCCATTCAACACACATGGGCCGGGACCAACGGCTTTACTTCCCTTCCGAAGGAAGACGTGACCAGAGATTTTAATGCCTCAGAAAAATCCCACCGACCTCGGCTGGGGTTGAACCCAGACCCATTGGGGTGTTAGAAAGCAGTCACGCTTACCACTACACCACCGGCGCCGGCCCATCTCGTCTCGCCGAACGATTCATTCAATGTTTATTCAATCACCGCGTGTGGTGAGTGGTGGTGTCCGATCGTCATCAGCAGCAGCAGCAGCAGCAGTGCTTTGGTGCGTGGCGTTGTACATTTTTCTCCAGTACACAACGAAAGTTACCCGCAAGCAACTAGCCATCAAGGCTGCCCCCGATTCACCGAAGAAGAAGGAATAAGCCGCACCGCTAGTGATCGGATTCAGTTGCTTGTCGTGAGTCGCTGAAGGCCATTTATGCCAAGCGCGTTACACTCGTGACTCGGGGCCTCATAGCCTAGTCAGTAAAGGCACGGTATTACCAAGCCGGAGGCGGCGGGTTCGATTCCTAGTCCGGTCGAGGGAATCTTTCGGATTGGAATTTTTCTCGACTTCCCTGGGCATAGAGTATCATTGTGCTTGCCACACAATATACAAATTCATGCATTGGTATTGCATTGGTAATATGCGCTAAGCAATAAGCTTGAAATGAGAACAAGAAGAAGAAAAAGCGTTACACTCGTTTCAAACAACATACAGCTCACAAGCCTCTTCCGTGTTGAACACCCTTATAACTCAACATTACTCAACCATCACGACAAAACTTTTAATTTCAGGACCACCATAATATATTGTTTTTTAAGAGTTAATTTTCATTGAACGTTCGTTCGTCTAGCTGCCAATCACATCATCCCAAAGCTGATAATATACCCAGCAACGAAACGTTTGTGGTCAAATGCGTAACACATGACCTTGTCAATTGACCACACCTTGCTCAATTTTTCGCTCAGACATATGGGGCTGTTACATCTTTTTGAGGTTGATCCGAAACGCCATCTGTTTCCAATGTGTTAAGGGTTGAACACAATGATAGCGGCATAGCGGCAATTGCAAATTTTTCAAATCCGTTTGACAACCCACAATGGGCGCGTTGCGGCAAAAGCGGCATTGTACTAAAACGCTTTTTTTTATTTTGGAAAAACGCGGTGCGGTTGAGCGGCAGCCTGAGAAGTGCTCAAAATTTTCAGTTGTATTTTTGTAATTTTAAGTTATAAAAGACGTGAACCAAATAATCATCCGAGGTCTTAGTATGTAATCAGTACCATGCATCCGGACATATTTCGGGTGCCCCGGGGAACTGGTCAGATTCTTCTTGAAGCAACACCCAAATGAGACTCATCAAATTGCATGATAATTCAAAAATATGATCATTGGTGGCCATATTAAGTACTTTCCCATGGCAACTCTGTTCGCTTATTGTGCAAGTTTAGTATCATCGGCTCTCAAATTTTTCGGAAATTCACTATAAAAGTGCCTCCTACACGGATAGAAATCTCCTTATACCTTTTGGCAAATTTCTATTGCTGATTATTCATAAAATGTATAAGTCAAGTAATAAGCAGACGCCTTGCAAAAAGTTAATGAAGATCATGTGTCAAATGAAATGTATAAGCGGTCACACATACCTTTTATGCATTCTTATAGGACCTATGTGGTTTGTCTTATGGAATCTATAAGGCTGATGCTTTGGCAAAAATGTATAAGTGAAACACATGAATAAAATAATTGATTTTCGTTTCGTGTATATTTGTGAGTGATTAGTGCAAACATCAAGAAAGTGCTAAGGATTAAAACTTTGTACGTGAGTAGACAGAGTTTTGCAAAATATCTACTTAAATAAGTAGTTTTTATTCACTCCCAGTGGCTCATCGGGAGAAACAATACATGTGTGCAGTGTGTGGAATAAATAAAGCCCATCTTGCATACAAGTTATGTTAACCTTTATGCAAAAAGTGAGGTTAGGTGAACAATAACAAATCACAACATTGATTTATAGTGATAAAAATTGAGTGGTGAATACAATAAAAGTCCCACAAGTGAAGTTATTCATAGTTTTTGTCAGGCTGTCGCTTTCGACACGGTCAACTTTGTGTAGATCAATCCCACCACTTGTTACCGTTCAATAAACAACCCACAGCTGGACGGCTTTTGACATCGTTTTGTAATTTTACTGTCTGGTTCACTTCCATTGACCATCGAGTGTGCCGGGGTATCGAACAAGTGAAAACAAAACACTCACAATATCGGTAGCGTGTATGCGCCACACACAAGGCAAAAAAATGCAAACTATGGGGGAGAGTGGGGACAAACGACTCTTGCGGGAAAATAAATAAATAAATTGGT